TCTCTTCTCTCTCTCTCTCTCTCTCTCTCTCTCTCTCTCTCTCTCTCTCTCACCCCTCTACCCCCTCTCTTCCCCTTTCTCTCTTTCTCCTTTTATCTCTCCTTGTTCTCCTTCATAACCATCTTCCACTTTGTTCTCCCATCAGTCCTCCTCTATCTCTGTCTCTGTCTCTGTCTTTCTCTCCCAACCCACTCTTCTCTCTTTCTCTCACTCTCTCTCACTCTCCTGTCTCTCCAATACTCCCACAAACATACACACTCTCTCTCCTCTCTCTCTCTCTCTCTCTCTCTCTCTCTCTCTCCCACACACCCCCTCTATCCCCTCTCTTCCCCTTTCTCTCTCTGTAACACACAATCTCCTTGCCTGTATATCTTTTCTTTATCTTTCTCTGTGAATATTTGAATAATTGAAAAGACAGATCTTATTTTCAGTAATCCTTGGTATAAATGCATACATTTCTCTGTCATTTCAATAGATCCACTATTCTATTTTAGTCATTATTTTTTTGACAGAATATTTTTTTTGTCATAATAATCCTTTGATACCTCATCAAGATAGAATACCTCTTGAAAAAAAAGGTATACCATTGTTGATGCACATATTCTTAAAATGAAGATCAACCCTTTAAAAGCTTCAGGTAGTTTGAACCAGTTGAATATAAACTTTTGCTTGCTAAGAAATCTGGACCAAGAAATTGATTTGTGATGAAGGTTTATGGATTGTACGGTCACAGGTCAGGTTACAGGTCAGGAATGCTTTAAGATAGACATTGAAAACTTAAAATATTCATTTAGAAATTGTCTTTAAAATATATTTATAAGCGTGATGGCACCTTGGTTTACATGTATTTAATTTTTCTCCTGTAATTCATTTTAAAATGGATTTAACAGAAAAAATGAGAATTACCTGTAGGTATCACTTACTGAGACAAATACATGTATGTCATTATATATATTTTTAGTATTTGTTATCGGATGTTGTAGATTATATATTTCATCATACCTCCCACATGTAAAATGGTTATTCAAAGGCAAAGTCCAAACTGACACTGAATCAAAACGCACAATTTGATTTCGATTTCCAATCATAAATATCTTGATAATCAGACAGGCGATCAGCCTTTAAAAGACATGGGGCTCCTGGCTGACCTAAAGGTTTGTAATTATGATTGCAGCATGAGCTAAATCCAGGATTTTGTTTCAGAATCTGAGTGTTGCAACAAAAGTAAAATGTATGTGGAGGTGACTCGAAATGGGGTTATAGACAAGAGTGTTTCATAACCATAAAACAGGGACAAATACATGGCAGTAATTGTATCTGGATTATTCAAGTAAATCTAGGCTTAGGACTCTTGACAGTTACCATCAATATTGATTGCTGTATTATCCCACTGCCTCAGAGTAGGGATAATTTATGGAATGGAATGGAATAGCCTGTGGAGTTGGGTTTCTTTAAAGCAATTTAAGCAATATGATAATTTACTGAGAAATCCCAGCCTTAATTATGTAGAGGTGTTATAGTCAAGTGATCAAATCCTTCGACTAGCAATGCAAAGATTGTGGGTTTGAATCCTGCATATACAAAAACTCTAATTAATTAAGTCACCCCACAAACAGTTGGCAAGAAAAATAAGCACTTTGATATCCTGATAGTGCAGTTAAGCTGTCCTTGAGCAAGGCATTTTATCCACATTGCTCCTCTCCACCCAGGTGCTGAATGGGTATCCTGTAGTAGGATGTGTGGATGTGGATGTGTCAGTGTGGGTGGTTTAGCATGTGCATGCCTGTATAAGGGTGACTGGCTGGAAAGCTATCATTTAGGGAGTATAGCATGTGCACTTTAAAGTGCAGAATCCTAACAGAATCCAGTGACCGGGGCGATAAAACTAAGCGCTATAATGAGTTTATACAGTAGGCTTGCGGTTGCACCATGTGAGAGAGAGAGGGAGGATTGAGGAGTCCTGAAAAGGACTCTCAGTAATTTTTCTTGAGGGTTTGTTAGTCCTGAAAAGGACTGTTGGTATAGTCTTGAAAAAGAGTGTTGGTTATCTTTCTTAGCCTATAGTTCTAAGGAGAACTATAGCACTTGGAGAGGATGAGTGACAGGAGTGGCTCAATTGAGTTTATTTCATTTAATTAAATTACATATCGTAACTGCACTATCACGATATCAAAGTGCCTATTTTTCTTGCCAAGTGTTTGTGGGGTGACTTAATTGGAGTTTTTATTTATTGTTATCTGATTTTTCTGATTGATTGGAGCTTATGTTTGGATTTCTTTGATCTGGGAATAAAGTCACAGACATACATTAACAGTTAACAAAGTCAAACACATAGAGCGAATCAACCACTCAACAGTCAACAACCTTTAAGCAGATGTGTAGCTGTCAGGTTTGACAGTCCCTTAGGGTCTTTCCTGGTTAAGATAATGTCTTTACATAATAGGAATGTTGTCTCAAACACAAGGTGATTTATCATTTGCTTCCATTCCTTGATCCTCCAATTATGAACAGGGGGGTGTTTCACAAATCCTAAGTTGAACTTATCTCTCAGTTGGACTTACAATTATGGAAAGCCATTAGCATCTATGAAATTATTACCCGTATCAGACATATTATTCTGAGGAGTGGTTTTACAAAATCATATTACACTTCTTGTAATCCCTAAAAGAGCTAATCAGTAAATATAAGACCATATTACCCTCTCATGAAAAGCCTATGGGCTTTACGTGTTAAAAAAAAGGAAATAAAGTCTTATATTCACCGCGCCCTATTTTGTCATTTTCATTGCGCATCTATTATGCGTACAAGAAACTGCGCACTTTTGCGCGCACTCTATTGTGACGTAATAATCACACCAAATTAGGCACACTGTTTGCAGTGTATCAAAAAGCACTGGATGCACAGTGCTGGTTTGACAAATTTTCTTCAGCTTTTTGAGATTGTCATGGTTGATTTATGTATTTGCTCTAGATGTTTGATTTGGATAACAATAACAATATTGACTGGCTTAACTTTCGGGAGATACCACAAATATTGCCCTCACAAGACCCATATTGCCCTCGTCTTTGACTCAGAGCAATATGAATCTAGTTTGGGAAATATATGTTGTATCTCCCTGAAGGCCAGTCCATATTATATAAATATTTTGTAAAAGTTATTTTAAAAGTCATAAAATGTTGATTCAAATCATTCATATTTTCTATAATCAAGGAGATTTCATGTTCTTGATGTGGAATTTATAAAAAGTCTAAAATACTTGAATTTTCCGTTTTGAATATATTTTATTTTAAGAGTACAACTTAGAGATAAGTTTGACTTAGGATCTTTGAGAAACACCCTCCAGATCTTATACTATAAGGATCATGCCTCAGAGAGAGGTTATGATGTCTTACATTGACATGACTTCAGTATATTATCCCAGACTAGTAATATGAGAGCTTCTTAGTATAAATGTGGGTAGAAAGGACTCTTGGGTAAAACTACAGTTTGCTGAAGGTCCCTGGTTATAGCTGTTGGCGATTTTGGAGCTTACTGCAGATTGTGCAGTAAACGTGCATTAGGAAGAGAAAGTGAGAACACAAGATGTGGTGTCGTGCAACTTTTTAGAAGGTTTGAACCTTCTGTGTCATGTTGATGTTCATTATTTAGAAATGAACTAAAAGACATGCAGATAGCCATTTTTAAATAAAAGAAGGACTACAATTATCATTTTCAAATCACTGAATTTGAATCTGTTTCAGAGCTTCCAGGAAAATTCATGAGTGTTTTAATTGATCTATAGTTTGCAATCGCCTGAATTGTTTTTAATTGCAGCTCATAACCTAGATAATATGCAGGAACGCAATAATGATATGAATCTTAATTCATCTGCACACCCGGTGAAATGTACATAGCACCCCTCTGGATGATTCCCCTGACCGTACCCTCTTAACAACGTACCATTTGAACAACGGAACCCTTTGATGACCACCCTCTTACAAACCTACATCCTTGCTAATACTACAATGTATCCAATAGTACCTTATGGGAAGAGCGTTGTCCCAAACATCTTGTTTTCCACAGAATTGCATGTATTCATACGTCAGGCAATAAGGTCATATATTTTGGTGTGTGTTTCACAGTTTTTAATCACAATATCAAGCTTAATCAACTGGCTGCAGAAGACTGCTGAACATACATGTACACAGGTTTCCACCAAAAACGCAACTAAATTTTGATTGGCAATGTCTTAAAAATTACAAATCCACCCTCATTGAAATTACACTAGCAATGTTGTAGTATTACTTTTTCATCTTCCTGTGAATTTCACAAGAATCTGAGTAAACATAGCTAGTTATGATTTTTTTTTGTAAGATATAGTATTTTCATCACAACAATTTAAATATGAAGTTGAACAAATAAGTGAACTGTCATATACTTCAATAACTTCTTTGATTATTTTATTTTGCTTTTTGTAATAAAAATATATTTTAAAGATATCTTCATGACAATCTAAATGAAAAAAATAATCTAAAATGTGACAGTGGGGATTTCACCAAGAACCAATGAGTTAGAATCACTTCAATAGAGAGGTTTGTTGGGAAATGCAGAAAAGACAAGTACACACTTCACTTATTGTGCACCAAAGCTATTTAAAGAGCTCTCATGTAGCTTTTGACAAATGGTAGGTTTGACAAAATAAGTCTTTGTTTTGTGGTTTTAGCTTCAATAAATTCTTGTTAGATTTAGAGGATCCTACGACAACCATACATACACAATTTCACTCAGTTTAATTCAGTACTTCTCATGATATTTCCAATCAAAATATTATTGCATTTTTTATACACCCAGTATGTACATACTACATTGTACAAATATATTCCTTACTTTTAAAAGAAATAGAAGCAAGTATATCAGTAGTGCACACAGTATGTAATTTTATTGCATTTAGATTTTATATGTAGTATATGCTCTCTGTATCGCACTGAATGGAAGTCACAACTTTTTATTTTTTGTTACAGGCCCCCAGTGAGCAATCTGTAACTCCCCTAGCCCCGGCTCGTAAAAAGCGGGAGAAGAAGAAACAGGAAGATGAGATCAGCTTAAGAAGCAACCGTAGTAGTTCCAGTAGTCTTGCTAAGATGGACTTATCTTCTACTGATAAAGACCAAGGAGCTGGACTCCTACCCCTCCCACCAAAGAGCAGACCCCGTAACGCACCACCCCCACCACCGCCTACATACGCCCGCCATCATTCATCATCATCAAATAACTCTAACCAGTGTACTTTGATTGATATAACACAAGACAGTTTGGCTAGTCCAATAAAGTGTCAGTTTGAGGACAACTTTGAACCTCTCGTAGCGTTAGAGGGATCAGCTGACAGTGCTGACACTAGTAAGCGAAAAACACAAGGCACAGAGTTATTAGAGGAATATGGACTGTACTTTAATAAGCTTGATATATCACAGCCATCGTCCTTACCAGTCGCTCCGTTAGGACAGGGGTCAGTGGTACCTGCGCAGGGTCTGGAAGCACCAGCTTCCCAAAAGCTAGTCAGGAACAGTAGTGCTCTCAGTGATCTTCTGTCGATGCCTCTGTTGAATGTCACCAACTCTTCCTTCGAGTCTGCACCTGGGCCCTCAGCTCCGTCAAATCCCTTTGCCTCTTCGCAGCCTCCAGTGCCTCACCAACCCAGCGCAAACCCTTTCCAGACACCCCTGGCACCCGTCAAGACTGCAACGTTGAGTGCGGACCCCTTTGCTGCTTTGGTGTCCATACAGAAGACCAACATTAGTCCTGTAAACAAGGATTCCCCAGGAATACCTAGAGGTAAGCATGTCTTTGATGAGTTACAGCCTTAATTCCTTCCATGTATACGGCAAATCCCATGTACTTGTGTTAAATCCTCAGTCACACCAACGGCCAAAGATCAGTCCACTTTAGAGTCTGTTTCATTCATTCATTCATTTTTGTGTATTGGAAAACATCAAAACAGTCCGAAAACTGATACAAGCAAAGGTTACATAATTGCACTGTTCAAAATGTTTAAAAGAATCAAATTAATTCACCAAAATTGACAAGAAACAAAGAATTTGATGAGAAGTGAAGAAGAATTGTTCAACATATTGTGCTTCAAATTGATATAAATATAAACACATTTCCAATAATAAAGTAAAGGAGAAATCATAAGGGACAAACTAGGAATAAAGTCAGAGAGGAGGGATCTGTTTAGAAAATGATAACAAATATCAGAGTGCCATTTCCTTTGCTCATTGTTTACATTTGAGTGCTCTGACATTTGCTCAGGTGATAATCGCTCCAGGCTTTATATCATCAAAAGTATAAGGTTATGGTTAGGATTGCAATTGTGTTTCAGGTTAGGTTTTAGGGTTAGTGTTAGGTGTAGTTTTGGGTCCAGGGTTGGAAGTTTGGAGATTGCTAGTGTAGGAAAGTACTGGATCACACATGATTGGCAATCTCCCTTGAAAAACCAACCACAGCAAAGTAAAACCTTTTACATGTAATTGTACATCAGGTGGGAATGAAAAAGTAAGTAGCTTGGCAGAACAAGTTATTACCAGGTCTGATATATATTTGTCACAACCCCTAAAATGTACAGAATTATCTGTAAAGCTACTTTTCCACTTTTGAAAATGGATACTGAGAAGTTACTACAGTGACTTTTTCTTTTAGACTGTTCTGTTGATAAATTTGGTCATTTACCAGATTTATTTGAAAACATTGTATTGGTATTTGTTTTTTGAATTGTAGCAATGGTGGATTCTTTTTCTTCTTTATTTTACAAACCATGATTATAAATCATGTTATAGATATAACACATTATACAAACTTGCAGAATCATGAGTGCCTCTCTGAAAGAAAATCTGTCTGGAAGCACCTGGGAAAGGGGATTATTATGTAGTATATGTACCTCAGAATTGACTTGATCTGGCTGAAAATTACATACATTGCACACAGAAATGTATATATGGGGCTACTCACATGAAAGCTTTGTCTAAACCTTTTAGCTCTTAGCTCTAGTATTTCTCGTCATATTTCAAATATGAGGGTATTTGAAGAGAAATCATTTTCAGGAGACATTACTACATTTCCAAAGTGGCAGAAAAGTAATTAGGAAGCTCATAAATTATTGTTTCACCTTAGGGCCTACCAGAACAAAACCTTCTCTTTTACATGAAACTTGGAGGGTAGGTTTGATAGAAAATGGGCCTTGAATTATTGAATTTTTAAAGTCCAGTTTCAAGTTATATCTCCAGTAGAACTTGTGGTGGTTTTTATTAAGGGAGGATTAATGCCAATCTTTTTTTCTTCATTCTACCATACATTCATTTTTCTTATATTGATTTGATGATTGTGGAGTTGAGAAAGGTGAAAAATAATTGATAAGAGACCTAAAGGGAACCTCCAGCCGAAAAATGATTTGCTTTGATAAAAGCAGAAACATTACAAAAATTGGTGGCAAAAATATCAAAAATTACGATGAAAAATCAAATGGGTTATGAAAAAGGCAAAATAAAATTACTGAAATAGACATACCAAACTTTGTGAATAATGAGGAGGGAATTCCAGTTTGTCTCCAAGAGAAGGTGCTGTTCATTAGATTTTTAAAAATCATAACATTTCTGTAACGATTGTTCCAATTTTGCTCAAACCTTTATTGATTTGTTTTTTCTGAAATTTCTGCTACTGTTTAAAGTTACTCATTTGGAGGATCAATTTTATCCTTTAAGTTGAGAATAAAAGTCTAAATACAATTAGAACTTAACTTAAACACACAGATTTATGGTGATGGAATGACAGTAAAAACAGCAGAATATTTTTTTCTGTGAGATGTATTTTTATTTGTTATTCTTTTAAAGTTTAAGAACACAGTACAATATAGAGGAATATTAAAATTGAGTATTAACAATGGAAATCAACTAAATATATTTACACAGGGCTATTTTTATGATAAGAGTACCATGTTGGTGTCTAAGGCAAAGGATCACTTTAATCAGATTAAATGCTTACATATGAATTTTAAAAGAACTAACTGCTATGTAACAGTGGATTTCCTGTAAGTAGGAACTTCTATGCATTTATTCAGAGACCCTTCAAACATATCGAACAGGAGGGAAATGCCTTGGGCTTATATCATCTTGTATTATTTTAATGTAAAAGAGCTTTATGCAATTTTTGTGGAACTGATCTATTTTGAGAGGACTGAGTACCATTGCTCTTAAATGCACCCACTTCCAGATTTAGCAAATGCCTGGAAAGTGTTATCACTGAAGACAGATATAATACATAGGACTTTTATCTATATAAGGCTTTCTAGTGGTACAATTAATCAGTGTATTTAATATCTTTAGCGCAGTACCCGGATGACTGACCAATATTGTTTCATATTGCTCAGTCATCCGGGAACTTGAACTAACGATATTGATATCATGGCAATAACACACAAAAACAAAGCCATATTTACTGAGGTAAGTCAAATTTTGTTATTCCGCTAGTCAGACTAATAAAGATAATAATAATAATATTGTATGGCTTTGTTTTCGTGTGATTCTTGTATCACACTCAAAGCCATCCAATATTATATTGCATGTGATTTTTAGCAAGAATGGATCAATTTCTTATCGTTTTGATGATTCCAAAACCTCACAGTATACATCAATGCTTACATGTTACATGATCAACCTTTTCCAATTGCATCTAAATGGTTTCTTTCACAATGTAATTGCATGATCAGAACACATCTTGATCTTTAATATGAAATCGCTTTGGAAGAAATCATAACACTTATGGAAACATGTGGTAGTTTTAACAAAATCAGTCATACAATAAGAACAATTTGAGAATTAAAAAGAAATGTTTGAAAATTGTAATTGCTATACAAAAGGGAATTTTAAATTGAACGAATTGGTAATATCACTGTGAAGTAATGGTGGACAACTCTCCTCTTTGCTCCAATACACATAGTTACTGAAATTATTTTTTAATTTAAAAAAAAGGAAATGCATGACTCAAGATGGTCTTTCCTTTTCAGAGGACCTTTCATGATATGTTATCCATAATATATTTAGAGTTGTACCCAGATAAAGGAGGTGCTTAAGAAAAAAAAAAAAATCATATTTTTGTGCAAAACAAACTGGAGAGTTGTCAGTAACTACATCGCAATCCACTTACAAATTGTCAATTTGAGATTTGTACATATGCAATGATTTCATATTTCAAACATTCACAGCTTTATCACTTTTAGTCTGATTTATTTCAAGCTTTTGCCATGCTTTTTCTCAATATTTTCTGCTTACAAACAAGTGAACTCAATTCAAAGATTGAATCACCCTTTTATAAAGGTAATTCAAATACAAGACAAGTCTTAAAGGTTACTTTTAAATTCTCAATGGATCCAATGGGCAATCCAAGGGTAGCAGTGTCAGTACATGCACATTGCAACCATATTGTCATACATTTATATGGTATGGATCAATTAAGTATTCTATGAAAATTAAAGAGTTATTAATACTTACCCTTGTGGAAGACATCAAGATCAGAATTACCATGCTATAATTGAGATTGATCCCCTTCAATTAAAATGAAATTAAATTGTTATTCCAATTTTTTAACTTATCTTGAAGGATTACACTTTAAATATTGAAAGAATATCTCCTATAGGCTTTTTGAAAATCCATGGCTCTACACTAAGCTTTTTCACGAGGGAAACTTGAATAAAAATCTAATGGTCTGTGACTCGTTGTGTATATGGTACCTGTCTAAATTGCACAATTTGTTGTGCCCATGTGCTCTGTGTGTCTACTAGTATCAAGCCCTGTCGTATCATGTGCGTGTAGGATACAGGGAAAGGAAAGTGAGCCTCAATTTTGACATTAAGCTCCACTAACAGTGAATACATATTTTTTTTCTTCTTTAACTTCTTTTACAAATATTTAAAAAAACATTAAAATGTGAGATTAAACTTTCCTGGGAACACAGCTGGAAGTGAAAGATGAATTAGATGAATTATATATATCAATAGATTACAATAATATAAATCATATGCTATGCTGAGGTGTTGTGGTCCAGTGGATAAGTTCGGGTTCGAATACCTGTCGCAGCACTAATGTCCTTTGGCAAGACGTTAATCTATATTTGCCACTCTCCACCCAGATGAGGTCAATGGGTACCTGGCAGGAATTAGTTCCTTTATATGCTCCATCGCTGTAATGGCAGCCGTGCTAAAGCCTGGTAATAATAATGGATTAAATGGAGCACCAGGAGTGGCAATGTGCCAGACATGAGCACTATACAAGACTCTACTAATATTATCAATTTAGTGTCTGTCAAAGGAGAGATTAACAGCTCTTTGAAAACTTGAAATCTATACCTTTGAAAATGGGAAGTTATTGACCTAAAAACTAGCTATCGACTTGATCCTTTTATGTGAAGTATTTATATTCACAATAACTTTGCATTGATTAAGCACGGCTCATTGCCGCAGCTATAGGCGAGCCGATCAGGTCCACATATAATATATACTCACCGTAACTGTGACAAATTTGACCCCTGTTGACCCTAAATTTAGAGGAGTGCTGAAAAGGATGTTTTAATTTTCTTTTGTGCAATGCTGAAAGGGAAAATATTGGTTATTCCTTTATTTTTGTATTCAATGTTCATTCAGCTCTTATGTGGCATAAAGTTGTACATTTTGTATATTTATGGGATAGTGTCTTTAATTTGAAGCTGCAGGTTTTAATTCAGATAACATCAGAAAAGTTTGAAGTGATCTTTAACTTTTCTACAAAGTTAATGCAGCCCTGGTTCTGATGAGTCAATATGGGGATGAGTTTTTTTTGCCTGGGTTTAAATTCTTTTTCTTGTTTGCTTGTTTTTATAAAATATGATTTCAAGTTTTACTTGTTACATAAACATGGATATTGGATTTATATGAATCCGAGGAAGAGGCAACTGTAATCTGTGTTTGATTGAAAGCTGCTATTTAGGTGGATCTGTGTGGGAGTATATATACTCATCAATATTCATAGTGTGTTATAGAATCAGGAGAAATCCTTCAAATATGAACACAAGATAAGAAATTAAGAGGAAGGGATGAAAGAGAGAACGCACAGAGGGATTATATTCTCTGGATGTTGATGAAAATACATCTCAAGTAAGATATAAATTGCATCTACTTTGTCTTCACCTTTTTTAATAAATCATCCTCCCGCTTGTAAATTTGTTAATTTTTAAAATTAAATTATATGAAAGCAACTTTGATGGTCTATGGATAAATGGTTAATTTTCCATGCAGTCTAAGAAATAGAGCACACTGTCTCAGATATAGTGGTCCATTTTCGGTGTAGTCTAAAAATAGTGCTTCATTTTGTACGCAGTGTAAGAAGTAGTGGTCCACTTTTTACATTCTATTAAGAAATTAAACTTTGTTTTTCACACAGTCTAAGAAATAGTGGTTCAATTTTGGGCTGGAGTTACCCTTTAAGTCTCTTATCAATTAATTGTCACCTCTCTCAACTTCACAACCTGCCTTGCTCCATTTTTCTTGCAGTGTAAGAAATAGTGGTATATTTATTTATGCAGTGTTCTCCATTTTTCACCTAGTTTTTCAATGGCAGCCAGAGGGCGGAATTCTGTTTTGATACATTATTGGATGTGAGAATACAATGCACCACCCCTTTAAGTCTTTGACTACTGAATTATCTCCTTCCTATAGGTTTAATAGAGGGACCACCCTGTTTCTGTATGCAATGGGTTAGCCTTAGGACTCATTCCTATATGAGCAGTAAACAAGGGATGGGGGAGGGGGGAGGAAGGGGGATGGGTATAATGTGTAATGAACGATATTTTAGGATGTACCAAACACCTCCCTGGATGTACAGAAGCCTTGGTAATGTTTGTACACTAACTTCTTTTCAGTTTCAGTTCAGTTTTATTTGTTCATTTCCAACAGAACAGTAATTTTGACAAGAAATCAGATATACAATTCAACATTCAATATTATAAAAATTTTACATGATTTAAAGTTATGAAAATAGAAAGTATACATGAATATCCAGTATAATGTTTGCTTACCTTAATCAGTTCACTGAATTTTGAATATTATCATTTTATTATCGTTGATTCCCCATTTGCTATCACAGTGCTCTAACATGACATGTCTTGTCTTCCCCCAGGACTTATGCTGAAAAATTGCAGATTGGGGGCTTTAGGGTTGCCATTGGGTTCAAGGTTAAGTTTAGAGTTTGGGATAGGGTTAGGGTTAGGTAGGGTTGGGTAGGGTTGGGTTCAGGGTAGAAGTATAGAATTCTGTTAGTGTAGGAAATTGATGCAGAGCAACTTTCGCAGGAGTATGTGTCGTACAACCCCATTAAAGTTGGTCATGTCATTAATTTGTCATTCTCTTGTTTTGTCTTTATCTTCTTCAGGCCCAAGCCCATCATGAGAAGCTGAGGAGACTGGTCTGAACCAGTTAAAACTTGCATCAGATCCTGGTACTTGCCTGTATATGTCAAGAGTCTGGTCACGCGGCACAGTCAACCAAGGAAACGTAACAGTATAAAGAGTGCCAGGTTTGGAAGAATTTAAGCCACATTGTCAGAACAGGGAGATTAGTGGTAAAAATCCAATTGATGTACATGTATGTATGTATGTGAAGAGTTTCAAATTTCCCTTAATTATCTTATTTTTTCTTTATAGTGGGAGGGGGGAGGGGGAGAGGGGGAATCCTGTACTGTTGTGTGGTTCTTGAGATTTCTGAAATAGATCCAGGTACTTGCCCTGAATATGGTAGCAACCTCTGCAAAGTGTTTGTAACATTTTTGGTCTTTTCCAAGAAGATTCACTTGCAATGCAATGGATAATTTTTGTTTGTAGGAGAGAAATAAAATCCCATCCTGTTGGCATTAAAGCCCCACTGCACTAGTTTGGCCAGGATGGATAAGACCTCCCTGCATGATCACTGACAGGTGGTTATCTCATCAAATCAGCTCTCAATTAAGATAAGAAAAAGAGGAGCATGGGGGATCAATGGTCACCGATTAGGCATTGTTTGCTATATAGAGGGCGCAAGTAGCTATAAGTAGTGCAGTGGGGCTCTAAACTAATGAAGGATGACATTATGACATGCATGTTTCATGCATCATTGTGTAATTTACACGATAGCAACTATGTACTTTTGAAAAATAAATCTAAGGCAATTTCATTAGCCTTGTGCGTCCCCTATTGAAACACGCTAACATAGAAATGATGTATTACGTTATCTGTACATAAATTTAATGGGACATCAAATAATGTATTGAATTGCCCTTGAGTTGATTTTTCAGTTATGATTGTGTTAATTTCATATACCGGTGAGGAGAAACATGCATCTCAGGCACCGAGTACTGCGATGCCCCCCACCTGTTGCTTGTGCACCCTCAATGATTTTGAACCCTCATAAAGATTAGATGTATTACAATTAACATTTCTTCTGATGTAACTCTATTGACAGCATTATGCAGATTTTGAAACCTTTTTCTATGTGCAGGAAATTGTTATTTCAACGATTTTATTGTTAAAGATAAAGTTGAGTTACTGTGAGGTACTTTATAGAAGGTTATTACATGTATGTAGTATGTAATGTGACATTTTGGAATCATCACAATGATAAAACCTTGACTTCTTGCTAAAATTCACCTGCTCTGCGCTTAGGCATTGATCTGTACACACATGTGGCATGAAAGTTTGATCCAAATTTTTTAGTTATTTCTCGTATTTTGAAAATTGTGGGTAATTTCCAATTTGATATATTCTTCCACAATGAAAAAAAGAATGTGAAAGCTCAAAACTTATTTGTTACCATTACTGGAACTCATAATTGCCATTCTAATGCCAATTAGAATTGCCCCCAATAGCAGAAAAGATTCTTTGAACCTTCATTTCCTCTGCAACTTAAGGAAAAGTCCCACTCAATCACCTATGTATGACTATGCCCAGGCAAAAACCTCCTCTTCTCTTCTGCTGGACTTCATGTTTCCCTCCAAGAAAGCTCTGAAAAGCTAAGGAAAAATTACCCATATATTTGTAAGATTTTCTTGCAACTGCTCTTTTCTACCCTAGTCTTAGGTTATTTTTGGTGGATTACTTTTCTGTTTTTTTTTAATTAATCATTATTTTGAATTATTGCCTTGCTAACTGGTTTGCAAAATATGCACTCTTCTTGCTAATTGCCACCGCAGTTGGAGCCAGACAGCAGCACTCTCTCCCGAATTCCCCTAATCACATCGACCTGAGAGTCCTGCTCCCCCTGACTCGACTCCTAGCAAACAATCTTGTAGCCACACTAGGCTTTGAGCATCCTTGCCATTCTGTGAGAGGGACAAGATTAGCTCCCGCTATCATTCACGCCCTGCCTATATTATCATAGGCAAGGATTCAGACAATGAATATGATTATCGCGCCACAAATAGCATCTCAGGCAAATCATTGGGCTGATGGTGAAAGTGTTTCCGGTCTGGCTCTACAAGTTCAGAAAATAGAGACTTAACAGTCTCCTCAGTATCTCAAGATAAACTGTGGTGTCCAGGACATGGCCTGAAATGGTACTTACATAAGATATAGACCCTTACTTATCTATGAGCCCCTTCTACCTTCCCCAAACTGCGGATCTGACCTGCACGCTTGCTTCAAAAAGAGAAAATATTCACGAGAGCATGGTCATATATAGGGGATTGGGTGAGGGGTTTTCCAGCCGTTGCTAGGGCAACAAAGATTCAAAGAACTTTTTCAGCTACCAGGGGGGGGGGGGCAATTCGAATTGGCAATAGAATGGCAGTTGTGAAATAGATAGGCAAGTAAATCTCACTCTTAGATAAAAAGTTTGATCAAGAACTTAGATATTCATGTTAGAGTACAGTTTTTGTCCAGCTATGTGTGTGGACAAGAACTTGCTTTTTAGGGCAATGTAAATGCCAGTGCGAGGGGGTTACTTTTACAAGAAAATATGCATGTTCATGTCTCTTTTGAGTGATATTGCCAGAGACATAAATTCTCAAAGTGCTTATCCTTGATAATCTCAGAGCTTAAACCCACAATCTTAACTTCATGGCCCGTATTCTACTATTTCAGTTAAACCAGACACCCGGTTTCGAGTCGCTTCTAACAACATAAATATAGACAGAGTTTGAATTTTCCTTTCTACTCTACGACTCTGTTAGGATTGTGTCAGAGAAATGAAATTCAATAGCATGCTGTTCGTCCAAGTTAAAAATGAATGAATAAGTGATGAGTAGGTGTAGTGCGTTTGTGCAGCTCAAGCAGAAAAAGAGCTAATTTGTGTTAACCATGGAACAATTAGAACATTGCTCAGTTGATCAGAAAGTTGACTTTTTGCTAGCAATGCTTACTCACACTAGGGTAATCAAGTTAGCTTATTGTTTTTTTTAATAGTTATTTTACTAAGTAACCATCGCTAAAAGGTCTGAATACTTATGTGAGTGATTTATTTATGTGGGCAACTTGCAAATTCTTCAAAGAAAAAATTGCCAAATAAAGGCACTTTTAAATGTGCTTCCATATCTAATATGTTCAGTAAGTAATAGTTAACAACTGTTCACATTTTTGTGCTTTTAGATAAAAGCCCATTACTGAGAAAAAATGTGTGAAAATCATCAACCTCATTTTATTCAAGTTCCCCAAAATAACCCACCATTTATAAATATCCTCATAATTATGGGGTGATTTCAGAAGGATTCCATAAAAATATCACCACCCATACAATCCTTTTATCACCGTCTGGTCCGTTGTATTCCGTTTATTTTTGGACTGAAAATATTTTTAACAGCTAAAAAGTACCTTCAAAATCTTGAGCATGTATTAAATCCATAGCAAGTCATGTTAATCTGATAATCAAGGCATGATCTATTTCTTATGTTACTTCTGAAAGCGCAAGTCTGGAGTCCTAAAATAAGTTATTTTTTTTCATTAATCAGTCAAAATGTGCAGCCATTTTTACCCGTTGATTAAAATGTTATGCTGTGTGCATGTTTATTGTTCCCTTCCTGTTTCATATGACTATTCAAAACCAAATTTGCACTTAAGAGACAAGCAAATCAATCAACAATGTCTGATGTAAAGAATTTTGAATAAAAGCCCCAGACTGTCCAGGGTTGTGGCTGAGACACTAATCATAACAATTATGATGAGAGGTAGACAAGTAGATCAGTATACTGTTTGCTCTTTCCAGCCACCTTACATAGCTTTTACAAATTGGAAGGGATGCAAGCAGTATGTGCGATTAATGTGATATTGTGCAAACGTGCACGAAGAGGACGCTTGGAGTGTTGAATAAACGTAAATGAATTTAGAAAGATTGGAATCGAATAACTCAACCATTTGCTAAAAATAACAGATTTCTCCTGCTATTATTATAATCATGTTCACAGAATTTGGGATGGGAGTGAAGGGGAGTTACCCCCAACAAATAATTTGAATTATGGACTCATCACCTGGTGGAGCCAGATGGGTGTTATTAAACTCATTTTATTTTGCACATAGTAAAATTTTTTCTAATGATATGATCAATATGCCCCTCAGTCCTAAAGATAAACAATATCCTTTTTAGCAGTATGTTTACTTTATGGAGATAAAATTCCCTGTTTCTGACACTAGGGGTACAGACAACATTTCAATAGAAATTGAATTTTTGCTAGAAACTCCCTATATTACATGATTGCTCTTACTATCACTATAATACTATCCTGTTGCATACAGATTGAATGTTATGGACAGATGTAAGTTGCAAGTAATAACGTTGTGTGATTCTGATGTGATTACAATATAATAAATTAACAAGGCAGTTAAAAGTACCTTAAAGGAAACCCCACGTCAAGAAATAACGTTACTTAATAACCTGAGAGATTAATTGTATTCTTGACCGTTAATTTGGAAGATGAGAGAGGCATAAATTAAGATATTCTTAGCATAATGTACAGTTTCTTAGGATGACATGGGCATCACCATTTTCTTGTTAATGTGACGTTCTATGTGAAGTCGTTTATCAAGTAAATGTCTTTAAAATCATGGATGCTTCTTCCCATATATGTGTGGTGATGAAGTATATCATTCACCTGCTATCATCTTTTGTACTACAATTGTCAGAATGCAAATTGCGTAAATAAATTGTTGCTCTTCTGGGATGAATGTTTCACATGACTGAAATAGGTTTGTCAACCGTTATATTTTAGTATCGTTAAGTAAACAAGCTACAACTGCTCACTTAGATATTTTTCGCTAATTATAATTTTTACCCTTTCAGCTATGATTTACCCTCATTGAAAAGTGAAGGTTTAGAAAAAGAAATCAAATAGTCTTCCCAACTAGAGCTTGGTGCATGCTACATGTTCAAGTTCGCCTGGTACGTCACATTATCAAGAAAATAGCTGCGCCCATGTCATGCTAAAATAATTACATCATGCCAAGAATATATTCATTTCTCCTGCACACAGACTTGTACTCTAAGCTATTGTACACTTTTGTAGGGTACATTGTATATCATTAGACAGGAATAAATATTATCCTTGAGCAGATCTACACTTATTCTTTGGGGCGAGGTTTCCTTTAGGCGTTTGCATATTTCTTGTTAAAAATCAAATATGAAATCAAACTAAACTTTTGGCCACTGTCAATAAACACAGCTGTGTTTCAAATATATACCAAAATTAAAAACTAAAACAAATTACAGAGTAAGAGAAAAGAGGTAAAAGATTTCTATTTTCCCTAGAAATAAGAGTGAACCCTTTTTTTTCTCTCTTCAGGTTTTAATTAAATATGAGTATGATGGTGAAGTGGAATTAACAATCATTTTTGGATGACCAATAAGAAATTTAGCATTTTTATTTTGTATTACCAACTTGTGTATACCAAGAAATTTTATATTAGATGAAATTTCTTTCATTACTATAATGAAATGTGTGTAAAATTGTAGTTCAACTGCTAGTTTTTTGTATTGATTAAGAGGTTTGCG